TGTTGTTCTTGCTTTACGGTAATCCAGTTAGTTTAAGCAGGCTGCATAACAGTTTCTACTGTTTAGGGAAGTATGTATGGTGTTCTGTGTAGGTATATCACTCCTGAAGCTGGAAGAACACTGGATACATATTTAATGGGCATTTACCGTCATCAACATATGATCAGGTGTTACTGAGCAGCAGTTCAAGCTGCCACACCTCATATCAGCACAAGAAGCCTGAAGGAACGAAGATGAAATGTAGAGAGATAAATAGTCGCTGAAAAGCAGTAGAAGGTAGTAAAAGGGAAGCAGGAATAAGAAAGTACAGAATTTAGTACAATGATCAATATAAGAATAGTGTATCGATACGTTCGTGCCACTGACACCGATCCTCGGCCATATCACCTAAAGTCACCAACCTCTGGTTTCTGTTGCCACACGGACACCAACCAGGTGGTCTACATTTCTCTACACGGTTCCGCTCAACAGTCGTTGACTTCGTTCACAGGTGCCATGTTTTAGTCTGGTCCAGGCTGAGTCCCTTTTCAGCCTGGACCTACTTCATCACCAAAAGTTTATCAAACGGTTTACCCAACCAGTCCTCCATCCATATGGAATCCTAGTAGTCTAATTTGTCAGCGTGCAGTATGCCATCAAGACCTTATGACGAACGCATAAAGCCCGAGGTCACAGCTGTACTACCCGCCCTAACTCAACGAATATTGAAGATTCAAACAATAGCCGAATAATTCCTACTTTCGAACTGAGCTTGCCTCAGTATGATGAACAACTATGTTGGTGTTTATCCGTTTCGTTTTTGCTGTTTGCTGAGCATTAACGCTCTTACTCTGGATGCATCCTTTATGTACGGTGTCTATTGCACAGCTTCATATTGCACATAACAGTCAGTTCACACTACCAAAATGACCAGACCTTTAAACCGGTTCGTTTTCATGCAACTTATGTCGTATGAAACATTTTATTCCATACTATATACCTAACATTGTGCGGTGAGGGAGATGATGACTGGGTGCGCGTAACACGTGTCCCTACCATCTCAGTCGATGAAGGTTCACAACCACACAACCCGACCTCCCTCTCCTCCCGAAGACTCTACACTCACTTCTGCGTAAGTGACATCATGACCAACGGACCATGCTGCAAAAGAAACTGTCGTCAAACAACTGAAGTCTTCTCAGATAGTCTGCTCCCTAGTGGCCCTGTTTCACGGCCATACGGTACAACAGGAAGAACTGCAGCGTAGCACGCCTGTCCTCGGTAGAGAATGGGATGTCCCAGGGGTGCCATATATTTGGAGAGAGCCAATCGACACTTTTGTATACGTGCAGAGATTTCGTCGGCCATTCACCCACTCCCTCCTCATTGTTGGTCTGGGCACCTCTGAAGACCAGTACTGGAACAACAATTTGCACTTAGGTGACGATAAACGCATCCTAAACATTATTAAACTACCACTCAAGGTATCCGGAAGACTCTGAGTTTTCACCTAACAATACTATGTCATCTGCATGTACTGCATCTCCTGTGATTAGGTCAATCCCCATGTGGTCAGAGGGCGAGAGGAAGACCTCATTCAGAACATCCATGGTAAGCTCAATAAGAATGGAGGGAGATAATACCTCTGACGCACAACAACCAGCATGCACAAATGACCTGATAACTAACCATAGGCTGTCAGCCCCACAAGCGTTTGAGTACAGCGCTTTCGACAGAGGTGTACCAATCCAATGAGACACAGTACCACAATACCGCTTGATTCATTTGGTCGAATGCCTCCTTTAGGTCAAGAACTACCGACACTGTTGGGTGTCGGTTAGTGTGTTCCAGAACCTGGCAGCGTAAATATCTGATAGAAACTCCCACAACCAGGTTTGGGTTGTGCCTGTTTTTCTTAGATTCGCCGCTCCCGAGCTCCAGTCAGCGTCCAACGCACCCAAACACTTCGCTCGCTACTGATAGTCGAGGCACCGCTGAAGACTAGTCCAAGAATAACAGTTTGCATTTAGGTGGCGAGAAACACATTTTCAAAGCGCCATTCAATGCGTCCTGAATATTGTGCATCTTGTCAGGGTCTTTGTCTCGAAGAACCATGTCATCTGCTCTCTCTAAGTCTACTAAAGCCTCTACTGTGACAAGGTCTACCCAAGAAGTTAGATGGTGAGGGGGAGACCCCCATAAGAGTGTTGATTATGTTCACTCACCATCGAAGGGCCGGAAGCACTGAACAGCCGTTTCGTCCGAGTATGAGGCCCTTCGGCAGTGCACACTCAAGATCTCGTGGGGACCAAACCTAGAATTTTCGGGTTTCGGGGCGAGCAAGTCACCATTTGGCCAGTGAGTCAGGATCCAGTAGTTCACACTTTCAAACTTCTACCAATTCGTGATCTTTATCCAAGGCCAGAGTCTAGTATTTGTCCGACATCCTTTGCTCCACCAGTCACTTCTCATTAGAACGCCGGAAAATCTCGTCTCGAAGCGTGTCACTAATGACCACTGAACGGTAGGTCAGCGGTCTAGTAGTTCCCCAACTGAGTCGGTCAGTATTGAATACCACCTAGAAATCAACAAATCCTCACAAACTGGAAGCTTAAGTGGGGAAAGTTTCAAACGAACAACTTCCTTTCTTCTCCGAATCCGTGAAAGTGAAGTCTAGTTACCATAAATGCTGAATCATTACCTACAAGTGGACATTAGATGTAACTTCCGCTTTGTGTTTGCAGTGACATTGAAATCAACAAGGGTTGATGGTCATAAACGAGTCGGGGGTGAATACTAGACAGGAATTATATCCATATACGTAGATATTTTGTAGTTTATCTTGACCTACCAATGCCGTTCAAAAAAAACGAGAAAAAACAAGCGGAAATTATTTCTTCACTTGAAAAAATGGTGACTATTTTGGATCATTGCTATTGACCGATATATCTGCAATTCTCCGCCGTAAAAGGAGCGGCCGTCGCACCTCCGTGGCTCAGTGAATAACGCCATGGTGTTCAAAGCGACGGGCACGAGGTTTGAGTTTCAATGGGAACAACACCCACTGGGGTGCAGGTACACCCAACTAACGAGTCCCACGTAGGACAAAACGTGAGTTCTGGATTTCTTCGCTAGCCACAACGAAGCAAATAATTTTGGATTATGTCTCAGCTGTCCAGGTCTGTACACAAAACAACAAGAAATCTAGGCTTATGAATCTAAGGCGAGAGTGGGACAGAAAGTACATGGGAACAGAGATCCCCTGACTACATCCGTCATCACCCCAAGGCCGATTCTCTTCAAATCCTTAATGCAAATAGAGGTACTTGGTTACTACTCTGTACCTTACCTCAAGAATAAACTTCATGGAGTGTGTTTGTCATGTGTTAGGTGTTTAACGAGCTGTATGCGTGAAGTGATGTTCAAGGCGGCCGGTGATAGGTTCGAGTTTCCGTAAGGACACCATCATTCACTGAGATGCGGCTAAATCCAGCTTATCTGTCCCAGATAGGACGAAACGCGACTGCTGAAATCTATAGCTGCCGCCAACAACTGAAGAACGCCACGAATTTAAATATTCACTTAATGGAGTGAACCTTGCTGATCCTTTTTTCTGTTGGCTAAACTTTCTTATTGTCATTTATGTTACTTTTCTTCACTTGTACGCTTCTTCGCTATACTTGGCCCGTCATCCTAGTCACATTCACAGGCTGAAAGCAAGCGTAGAAAAGCTTGTTTACTTTGCAGACCGTTTTGAATGTCCTTGAGGACTAGATTTCCGGCTAATCATCAGTGGAGACCTGAATATCTAAATCAGTATAACACTGCGTTAATTCACGTCTCACCACACATACGAATATTGGTGAAGTGACTGAGTGAACAACAATAATAAGTACGTGAACGATTCTAACGTGACGAGACACTTAGACTGGATATGAATAGCGACCGTTCTTCCTCAGAACTTTAAAACTCCCCTGAGCCACGGAAATAAGAAAACAAAGACTGGCCCGTGACCATGAAGGAGACAATTTGTTCGACAGAAACACACTTAAGTACAGTTTTCACGAACACGTAAAACCACTAGGTCAAAAGTTAAATTACTTATTTTCATTGGTAGGTTGTAGGATAAATTATCCAATAGGGTTTTTCCTGATCAAACAGTGACACGAAAACAAACGGAAATCCAAAGGCTTCTGCATTGGCGGCTGATGACGTAAAACGCTGATTTCCATTTAAGCCGCTTAATATCAATTAGACAATTAATCAACTACAAACCTGAAATAACAACTCCATGGACTCTTCGCCGAAAGTTTCACATCACTCCCTCTTTGTATCCAAGATTAGTTGAGATAGGCATCATAATGGTCCCATATACTTTTTCCACTGTATAGTCATTACTATTTGGGCACTTGCACAGACAGGAATGACGACAGACTCCTAATCTTAACAGCATCTGGAAGCTCCCCAATCACTCTACAAACTGCAGCTTACTGGCCCACAAAAACATTCGCCTCACTGAAGCTGATAGCAAGAAATCAGAAGAGACTCCCTTGCCTACTGTAGGAGCAGGCTACAAGACTCAAAACAAGCCGTAAGAACTAGGCGTGAGAGATCAGCAACTATCAGTTTTTTATGCCCACACTATCAGTGTTGGATGTTGGATGCACATGTACATTTTTGTGATGCAAATGGACTGCTCTCGAGTAGCTTTCTGCCACCTACAGATGAGGAGCAGTAATACTACTTTGAGACCAGGTCAATCAATAATTGACTATCTCTATCCTTCCAGGTTTTTCGGAACCAGGAAGACAATTGTAACCATTCGAAACCTAGAACGTACTCCAATAAGACAGACGTAGAACTCAGGGAACCGCCGTCCACTAATTCTACAACACAAAGGTTGAAGTCCCACTGATGGCGTGGAATTACTTCATAAAACCTGGATCTGCTTGCGAAGAGATGAACTAGTTGTTACTCGCAATTGGAACAGGTATTGGATAATGTGTTCGTTTCCAAATGACCTTGGGGGCTCACTTAGTTTGGAAGGTCGGACAGCGTGAAGATGAGTATCTTACAGAAGATTGCTGAAATAGAAGCTGAGGTAATCGAATCTAGACTTTCATCAGGCTGACTTCAAGTGCTAAATTTTTTAATAATTATGTGTTTATAGTTGGCATCTGATATCAACTTTTCGCTTATTCTACAACACGAAGTTTGTAGTATAACGGTTTTGTAACTTCTTTGAAAGAGGCGTTTTTGATGCTGTTTAGACTTATTTGCTGGGTCATGAGAGCCAAAACTTGGTGCCATTTACGATTGTCGAGAGTTTCAGGTTCTATTATTGTTCTCTAGTCCTTCAATCTAATGTATTTTCCAAAACTACTCAAACTAGTTTGGGTAACAAAAGTTTGTTATGTCAAAAGTGGGGAAGTGAAAGGAATGGATGAGGAAATTACGGGTCAGTCCATTATGATCGATACTTCAATTGAAACGTTTAAGAGGGGACCAACCCATTAAGTAGGTATAATATATTCAATATCTTCGAAGCTTCAATACCTGTCATAAACATTTCAAATAAGCAAATCAATATACTCAAAACATACGTTATATATATGTATATATATGCCTTCTCAAATATCAAATACATGACACCTACTTGGATTGATTCTTTTCTAAGTGTTTTAGTCGAAGTGTCCATTATAATGGGTTACCCTGTCATTTTCGCATTCATTCCCTTATTTCCCCATTTTTGTTAGTTTAGGTATTCACGTGCATATCCATGAGACTCATCTTATCATCCTTTCGCCCCTCTGTCTTTTTAAAATGAAGTTATAAATAATAAAGCTAGGCATGGAGCTGATTCCTAGCTCGTGTCGATGAAGGTTGTCTTGGTAGGGTATGTGTATATACATACTTTATACATTTACTAACTGGGTAGCATTGAGTGCTAGCATCACTTTTGTTTACTAGCAAAAGATCATCTGAAGTATCACTTGAGAATGAGCCTTAACAAATTATCAGGGTCTTAAAAATTTAATAGGACAGTTTTAAAGTAATTGGACGTTTTACCACTAAATTGTCTTCCAAACTTTGCTTTATCCAATAAGCTGACATTGAATGTTTGGTTTCAGAGCAATTTTCGTACTCGAGAAGATATTTCACCAAAAGTATGTATTACTTAGTGTTCTTCCTGACCAACATGATGTTAACCGGATGATAACTTAGTAGTTTAGGTAATTAAAGTAATGAGCTCAGTGTGCGCAGCTTTCACAATTCACCATATTGTGAGTCAATTCATTTGCATTTCTTTGTGAGAAGTTACCATGGTCATCCTTTTTGCCAAACAGGGTCACACTATACTTTCATTTGATTTTTAGTGCAAACTCATGGTTCTCATCACCATTATAACTAGTTTACTTAGCAGTTTTGTGCACAAAACTTATAATTCGATTGTCTCACCTTCCATTGTTACAAGCGGTTGCAAATATTTGGTTGATAAGTGCGGTTTCAATTTGTCAAAGATCAGTACTATTCTAAATATCATGTCGCGACGTGCTAATCCTAAGAGTTGTCCGGTTGTTTATAAAACGCTTAAAGGTTGTGGCCTAATAGAATTAAAATTTTGGCCGTTATCAACTACAGTACCAGATTCATACAATTCAGTTTAAGAGGTTTGTCTATTTACGAGTGGCCATGATCACTAGCCGGTTTACCCACTGTATGTTGATGCCTCATTTACACAGAGTAGTGTACATAAAATCGCTGATGTCTTTTGCAAACTGCTCTGCAGTTGATCTTGTTGATGAGATATCAGGTGAAAAACTATGTAGTACCCTTCCACTGCTTCAAAAGCTTACTGTGGGCTGTTCGAAATTTTTTGTTTATTTCTTAGTTTTGAAACCTATTTACTAGAAATATTTGGTAAACTGCGTAAGATGTATTCTAAAATGTTTACAGTCGGCTGACATGTCATTTATCTAGGTTGGATATAGTTCCCTTGTTTGTATTTGTAGAACGATGTGTAAATATTTCTTCAATTATCATGAGATATAATTATCAGCTAGTATTTCTTATTTGCTTTTACTTCCAGATGGCTAGGACGCAAAAAAACAAAAACACTATGGGTCACTTAGGGTTGTTAAAAGCCCGCTTGGCTAAACTTAGAAGGGAACTTATTGAACCTAAAGGTGGTTCAGGTGGAGGTGGTGAAGGTTTCGATGTTGCTAAAACAGGCGATGCGCGTATCGGTTTCGTGGGTTTTCCATCCGTTGGAAAGTCGACGCTTTTGTGCAATTTAGCGGGTGTTTACTCTGAAGTGGCTGCATATGAATTCACGACTCTCACTACTGTACCAGGTGTCATCAGATACAAAGGGGCTAAAATCCAGTTACTTGATTTACCTGGAATAATAGAAGGGGCTAAAGATGGAAAGGGTAGAGGAAAGCAAGTGATTGCTGGTAAATCAAATTTTTTAACTCAGTAAAATTTACAAATTGCTGTGTAGTCGCTCGAACTTGTACTCTTATTCTTATGGTACTAGATGTCCTCAAACCTTTGCAGCACAAAAAGCTTCTAGAGCATGAACTCGAAGGGTTTGGCATCCGATTGAACAAAAGTCCACCGAATATAACGTTACGTCGAAAAGACAAAGGAGGTTTGAATTTTCAAGCTATGGTGAGTCCTGTCTCTTTCGTCTCACGGAAAATGACTAACGTTTACAGGTACCTCAATCTGAATTAGATAAGGAAATAGTGAAAACGATTTTAAATGAATATAAAATTCACAATGCAGATGTCTTACTCAGGTGTGATGCTACTGCTGAAGATTTAATTGATGTCATTGAGGGAAGTCGGGTGTATGTCCCTTGCATATATGTTCTCAATAAAATTGATCAAATAACTATCGAGGTATGAAACTGGTCGTGTAATTGTTTGGTTTTTGTCAGGAGTTAGATGTCATTTGTCGCATTCCACATTGCGTACCTATTTCTGCTCACCACAAGTGGAATTTTGATGATCTGCTGGAGCTAATATGGGAATATTTAAGTTTAATCAGGATTTATACAAAGCCTAAAGGACAACTGCCAGACTACAACGCACCGGTTATCTTGAGGTCTGCAGCACACACAGTGGAAGATTTCTGCAATAAGCTGCACAGAACCCTGATCAAAGAATTCAAATAGTAAGTGATTCTGGTACTTTTTCCCCTCAAAACTTTGTGAATTTATGTGTAGTTTCTCAGACAAAGTGTAAGTTGCTGCAAATATTCAAAAATTAGCATCTCATGTGTACAAATGATGTGAGTGGATGGATGCTTTATTGATACTTGTAATTTCCCGTTGCTATACTGGGTCGCATTGCTCGACCTCTGTTGGCAGATAAAATGAATGAAGTGCACCCAGAAGCCTTGCTCACATTCATACGGTGGGCAATGAGCCACATCTATTGCGTCAAGGCTAGCAATGCTACTTGGCTGCCCAGACCCAGGGTAGGTTGAGCGGGGCTCGAACGGGTGACCCATTGGTTGAAAGTCATCTCAAACCAATGAGCCACATCTCCAACTTGGTAGATAGGCTGTTATAAGGATACCTCGATACTGTCTGGATATTCATTATATTGTAATTTATTTGATGGCTGGCAGTGGAATACAGGAAGTGCGTTTCTTCCTACTTGGCATCCATCAGCTGAATGTACCTGCACTCCAGTGAGTGATGTTGTTCCCACTGAAACTCAGACCGAGTGTCCATCGGTTCAGATGCCAGTGAGGCACGAGAGCCACCTTTTTTCAACGGGTACCAATTGTTGTCACATTGATACTTTTAATTCTTCTCTGAATGGTTCGATATTTACGCAGAGCACTTTTGTAAATACTATTTGTTCAAGACTTGAATATTTTGAAGTATAAGGTTATTTTTGTGATCTTAGTTCGTAGCTTACATATGAAAAGGTGTACAAAACGGCTGCCTTTTGAATTGATTTGCTTTTATTTTCAAAAATGTACTCACAAACTAAACTTTACCCTACAAATTTAAGCTCTAGTCAGACATTTTCACGGTTGATGGTCACGTTTGCTCTTGGTAACGTTACGGCATTTTAATCAACAACCTACTAAATGTAGACTTTAGTTAATAAGTTGTCTAATTGCTTTGGGATTTAAACAATTCACTTTTCATTTTGGGAACTGATTGTTCTTCAGTATTTTGTTTATCTTATGAACTCTCGTAGTAAAAGTTTGGTGTGCTTTTTATTTTGACACCTTTAATTCCCATCCACTTTTGACTTGTAAACGTTATTTCTGTCTCACTACGTCAGTCAGATAGGACTGCTGCATTCTCCAGTCGTAAAAGATCTTCGTACTTGGCCATTGTTTGTTCTGACATTTTTGTTGCAACGCGGTGACTAAACTTTATGTTAGTTAAACCAATCCACCTACCCTGCATTTTTACTACCTTTCAGAAAAGATTTCTTAGTTTTACACACAAAGTTTATGAAGGTGAATTTTAATGTTATTATATGCAGTTAGTGTCAAACACATTCCAGGACATTTTCCAAATAAATTTTCAAATTACTTAACTAAATTACCCAGTGCTAAGGTATGCATCTTCTGTAAAAGTTTTTTGTATGGTCATTCAGCAGCATATTTTATCTGTAAAATTGAAATATATGCCAATTTAGTATGTACTTTCCTAGATAATCCTAGATAATGTTTTCGTATTAAATTTCAACCTACTCATGAGTAGGTAAAAAGTCTTAAGTCAGAAATTTATAGGTGGTGTTTTTGACGCTCAATCAAAAGTATAAAATGTGTTTGATTATTACTTAACTCTACAAGATGAGTTTCTCCATAAGTTAAGTTTCTGTCCATAGTTTCTGTTGGACAAAAGCTAATCCCAGATGCCTTCAAAAATGTTAACAAACTAGTTGCTATTTGACACTTGTAATTGGCTATTGATGCCCAATTTGAAAGTCTTTATGATCACTTATTTCCCCTTGTTCCAACCTCCTCAGATAATCAGAGTTGGTTGAAGGCTAAACTAGTGAATATTGTCCTTCAGGCCCAATACAGCGAAGTATCCTAACTTCACAACATTTCAAAGCCCTAGAAGGACTTCGAAATATATCTGATGTAGTCATTCTCAAACCCGATATGGGGTCAGGTGTGGTTGTGATGGACAAATGTGATTGCAAAAACAAGGTGATGTCCATCATTAGCTATGAAAGTAGATTTATGGCTGATGTTTCATCAGACGACCTTGGAAAATTAGAATGCAAAGTAACATCTAGCCTGGTAAAACTCTTGAATATCAATGTTATCAGCTAGGAAGAATTCGCTTCCCTCAAACCAGTACCGTTTGAGCTACCTAATCTATATGGATTGCCTAAAATTCACAAAACAGATAATCCTTTACGTCCTATACTCTCCATGTTCCATTCACCTACACATAAAATAGCGAAATAGTTAGCAAACATTTTAATCCCTATTCGAAATGAATTATGTAAGTTTTCTTTAAAAGATACTTTTGAACTTGTTGATCATGTTAGTGATATTAATATCAAAGATAAGAGGTTGTATTCATTTGATGTCAACTCCTTATTTACCGATGTATCCCTAATTAAAACCATCGACATTCTTTGTGATCATATATCTACCAGTAATCCTTCTTTCCCTATCCCCTCAACGTGTTTGAGAGAGCTGTTATTATTGTGTACCGATAAAGTTCATTTCACATTTGAAGGTGAACATTTTTGACAAATAGATGGTGTGGCTATGGGAAGTCCCTTAGGATCATTGCAAGCTGATATTTACATGTCACACATTGAAGACTTGACTGGCGATCTCATCAGTAAAGTTACTCTCTATAAAAGATATGTTGATGATATAATCGTGATATGTGATAAGCATGAAGATGCGACATGTTTGTTAGAAAGACTTAACAACGTAAAAAACAACATAAGCCTAATATGTGAAGAAGAGGAAGAAAACCGTCTGCCATTCTTGGATATAGTCCTAAGTCTTAGAAATGATGGTTCAATAAAACGGTCGGCTTACAGAAAACCTACATGGACAGATCAGTATTTAAGTTTCCATAGCTTTTGTCCAACTCAATACAAGCGAGGTTTGGTAACTTGCCTATTTAAAAGGATCCAGTGTATTTGCACGGAAAACTCAATGGATGATGATATCAAAGTACTAACGGGAACGTTAATGGAAAATGGACATCCATTGAAGTTCATAAACCGCTGCAAAAATCAGCAAGAATTCAAACCTAATCTGTACCCTGTTTCGAAGAAATGCGTTTACGTTGCGTTACCACACAGAAGAGAATCTAACAGCATAATATTAAAACGAAGGTTAAGGTCTGCTGTTAGCAAAACGTACTATGCAACTAAGCTTATCGTAGTTGAGAAGACCAAACATCTGCTGCAACCTAGACCTCAACGCTGTATAAACGATTGCGTCACATCCCGCTGCGTTTATAAATTTACATGTGTGTGTGGACAAACATAAATAGGGAGGACTAATTGTGATATGCACTTGAGGGTAGGGGAACATGTTCCAAAATGGCTGCGAAAGCAGCTGGATTCACAAACACTGATAAGCGGAGATGGCAGACAACCATCGTCATCCACTGTAAAACATATCATTGATAAGAGTCACAGGATTGATATTAAAACAGACTTTGTATAGAGACTGTCAGGGGCGTATACTTAAGTTTGTTGAGGTGCTAGCCATAAGTAAATTTAGCCCCTTATTGTGTGTGAAAAAACAGTTTGTCCTTACATTAAGCCTACCTTGGTAATGCTTATTTTATCGTATTACCAAGATTGTCTTCAAGTCTTATCTTTTATTCCTCTCATTATCTTTCTTATTATTGAATTCCTTTATGTATCCTTCCCCCACTTCCAGTTTCCATACATAACGCCTTGACAAGTAAATGTGTGATCAGATTGTTCGAAATGTATAGCGCTAATACATCACATTTTTCAGTTAATCTACGTCTTCTAATTACATTATCCAAATTCATAAAAGGGAATAATTGTTTCAAAACTTGTAATTCTCATTTGCTGTACCACGGTCGAATTCCTCGACCTCTGTTGACCTAAGGTCTCCTCTACGGATGTCTAGATACTGCCAGATATTCATGATGTTGTAATGATGATTGTGAATAGCAGTGGAATCCAGGATGCGTGTTCCTTGCTATTTGGGACTCGTCAGCTGGATATACCTGCACCATAGTGAGTGATGTTGTTCCCACTGAAATCCAAACCAAGCATGCGTCGCTTCAAAATTCAAATTCCTATCCTTTCGGCTATTGGAGCTTCCTTTTCTTGATATATTAATAACTAGAAGGGAAGATGGATCCATAAGAAGATCAGTGTACCGAAAACTTATATGGACCGGACAGTGCCTAAAGAAGCAAACGAGGTTTACTAAAATACTTATTTGAAAGGACCCTATGTATCCATACAACAGATACATTGGAAGAAAAAGTTGAATTCTAAACATAGGCTCTTGGAAAATATATACATCTACTGAAATTTATCTATTCGTGATAAAAACGTCTCAGCGACACGAACTAATCAGTTTTCTGTCCTGATGAAGGGCGTTTACATCATGTTACTTTATAAGGAGGAATCAAATGACATAATCTTAAGGCAAATGTTTATTTCAGTTATTGAAAAAATATACTACGCAACCAAGCCAAATATTATAGGGAGAAAGGAACCTATGCTTCAAAATAAACCTTTTCACTACATAAATGATTACGTCGTATCCCGCGGTGTATACGAACTTACATGTGTATATGGTGACATACATTGGGAAGAACAATTGAACTATGAAGTTAAGGGTGGTGGTAGTATATCCCTAAACGACTAGAAAAACAATTACATTCAAATAATTCGTTGAACATAGGAGGCAGATAGACGAAATCCTCTAAGTAGGTCACTGGATTGACCCTAAAGCATCCATTAGATCACTGTATAGGAGCCGTCAATGACCGTATACTCAGGTTCATTGAAGCCTTAGCCATATAAAAGTTCAAACCTCTTTTGTGTACTCAGAAACAATTTATCCTTACCTTAAACCTTTCATAAGTTTGATCTCATTTTAACTCCTAGAGATGTAAAAATATATTATTCCTCCTTATATTTTCCATATGCTGTATTATCTTAATTTACTTACCTTACCCCGCCTTATTTTCACAACTTATATAAAATACCTTGACAAGTAAATTTGTGATCAGATTGTTTGAAATGTATTGCATAAATACATCAGAATTTTCAGATAACTATCGTTTTCTTATTAGATTATGTATAAAGTCTTAAACTAATTTTCTGTCTTGTTGGAGTACACTTTGGTTGTAGTTTATTACTAGTCGTTTTGTGACTGGTTAGTAATTTGTCCTGTGCTTATAGTAAAGTTAAATGGGTTCAAGTTAATGTTTCATAGGTCAGTAGGACTACAATTATGTTTACAGTCATTGAGTATTAGAAGTTGTGATGAGTCGCAGTTTTATTTTTTCCATAACTTGTATTAGCGGTTTGTATCATTTTATGCTAATATGTTGTGATAAAAGTCCTGAGGAAACATCGTTTGCTTGGTAAAGGATTAAACTGAGGATTGTCGAGCGTAATATGTGGTTGTCTATGAAGATTTCGGCTTTAAATGAGTTTAAATCAATAGAATATTCTGTTTATTATACCCGATTTTCCTTAACATCACTTGCTACTTCCTTTCCTCCTTCATCTTGAATTCAACGGCAGCTTTTTATTGCATCGCTTTTTAAAAAATGAAGATCTGGGCACGGCCTACACATTGTATCAACGAGTTGTAACCACGATTCCTTAAATTGCTTCTAACTGAACGATATAAGTGGTTTCTAATCAGTTATTCAACTGCTAACCTTCGACGATATTCGTTATAACGGAAGATAAGTGCTGATGCATTATATATATGGAGATGCTTTTCACACATAATAGAAGGGAATAAAATAAGAATCTCTTAAGATGATTTCTTTTCTCTGTGATATCCTTATTTATGAAAGCAACCATATCTTATTAATGACTATCACGAACATGCAACCGGTTTTTACTGAATGATGGTTTGAAGTTACACTAATTGAAAGCTGTTTGAGAAGAGAATGAACATTATTTCCTGATATCGCAGGATCATTCATCAACATAAGACTAGACATTGCTGCCTAACAATCCAACTTGCCACACCTCATATCACTACATCAAGTAAAAAGACAGTCAACTGTGAGACAAAGAAAACAAAATTCACTCAAAAGAAATATAAACTACTAAAATAGAGAAAGGAAGAATGAGAAAATGGTGAGATTCGGTATAGCGTCGTTAAGATGAGGATAATGTGTGTGGGCATACATCTCCACCACTGACATCGCTTCTGAACTACATCAACTAGAGTCACTCTACAACCACTGCTTGCCTCTTGTCCCCCCAACCCCAACCCACTAGTATGCATCGCCCCTCACTCATGGCTTAAACTAACAGTCAAACACTTCATACATTGGTGCCATGCTCTAGTCGGATCACCTCGAGCCTTTCACCATCCTCAACCTACTTCCCCCAACATTGTGTGTGTATGTGTGTGTGTATGACGAGGCAATCGGCGACTCAGCATACGTAACAAATGTCCCAACCAGCCATCTCAGTCGATGAAGGTTCACAACCTCGTCAACTCACCTACCTCTTCTCCATTAAACTCTACACCTACACCGACACCTACACTACACCTGACTTCTGCATTACTCATATGGTGACACCATGGAATACGGTGGCCTATACTACGAAGGCAATGATGGTCAAACACCTGAAGTCAGCTTTCTCATGTCTTCCACCTTCAATCGCCATGTTTCACAGCCATACAGTAGAACAGAGCGAACTGTTGTGCAGTATATCCCACCCTTAATAGACAATCGAATATCACGGTGGCGCCATAGGTGGCGTAAGTTGGCGAAAGCCAGTTGAGCCTTTTATGTTTGTACAGAGATTTCATCGGCCACTGAGCCATCAGAGCGGGGCTGATCCTACTTCCCAGGTAAGTGAAGTGGTCGATGCACTCAACCACTACACTCTCTATTGTTAGTCGCGGTGGGGCACCGTTGAAGACCAGTCAGTTGTGGGTGTGTAAGGAGAGATTACAAAGAGACAACGGCGAGTTTCACTACTCCTTTTAGTTCTCACTGAGCCGTGCAGTCAGACAGCGCAAAAGCGACTGTCAATTGGGATCCAGTCTAGTAGTGAACTTTCTGCCCTAGTGCATGATGCTGTGCCTACACCTACAAGACCGCGAGAGCTAACATCGAATCTCCAGAAACTCGATTCATTGATTGAAATAACTCAGAATCTTAAAAAAACATAGCCTTATTCTAGACAATTTACCTCTCATTCTGGTGAAGAAGTATGCATCACAAACAGAATAATCAGTTTTTAAAAGAATTGTCAATTTCGGGAAGATATAATCAACTAAGTTTTATTTAGTTTTCATGAAAAATTTGATTTTATTCATTCGTACTGTCGCTAAAATCAAATAAATCATCAGTCTTGTGATAAAGATTGTAATGAGAAAATATTTTTATCACTATTTTGTCGCTTAGCTGGGAATAATAAAATAGGGTGGATGACTACAAAACTAATCGAAGAATAAGGAGAAATCCTTTTCACTGAATCTAGTCACTAGAAAGGTCACTTATATGGACGCATATATATATATATATATATATATATATATATATATATATAGATGTAATATAAAATGTTTTAGATTATGATAAAAAGTGGTGATCCGGAGTCAGTATTAGTCAAAGAGATGTATAAACCAACTTGCAAAGAAGTGAACCTCCATAAGAATATCTATGATTGAATTGAATAAGAATGGAGACAGTGGGCAGCTATGACGGACACTACTGTACGAGTACAGCTCCCCATATATCTCACCATAGGCACTAGCACGTCCACAAATGTTAGAGTAGAGAGTCTTCAATAAAGTGGTATACTTACTCGAGTGAGATGAAGAATTGTATGTGTGTCGATTGACAAATCAGAATGACAGGATTTGGTTATAGCTGCGAGATATGCGGAGTCATGAGATGGAAATTAATAATCAGTTGTGCTAGGTGTATGCTTCTACTCTCAACCTAAATTTACAGTTAGCGTAGGAGATTAACATATGAGCTACCGGCTTGCTGTCGTATATTTCATAGACTATTATATTATCACTCTTAGACAAAAGATGAGACCCAAAAATATATGGTTAGTTAATAATGATAAAGAATTAATGAAGGGTAAAAGTAAAGGTTACTTGCCAACTAGCGATTTTGTTTTATTGAATGTAGGACTTCTTATCTGCTATAGCGATCCTAGGTAAAAAACTTTTATGTGATATTTTTATAAGATTGTGTAACTAACCAGAAGAATATATGAAGTTGTACTATATCATGAATTGACAGAAGTATGGGAATGTGAACTACTCGATAACAATTTATTCGCCACGAAGCATAAGGTTCCTGGGTTCGACCTCTCGCGGGGTCATTTTAGCGCTCTGCTGAAGAGTCTTATATTGGGACGAAACAACTGTTCAGTGCTTCTTGTTCATCCTCAACTGATGTCAGTCCGTGATGAATACGACCTTGAAAATGTATCATTCAACAGGGTGGAAATTGTTTGCAAATGTACGATGTGATGGATGAATATCCACTTTTTTAAGGTATGCCACTGAAGAAATAACTAATAATGAGATAAGTACTTTAGCGGGTATGACGAACACAAATACCAATTAAGATTGTAGACATATTTGTTTTCTACATGGAGTTAACACTTGAAAGGGTTGAGTCAAATCGAAAACCACTCACAGCGAACTTGTACATACATTCATGCTGTAGGAAATAAGCTACACCTACTGTATAAGGGTTAATGATATTAGCTGACTGCCCAAATCTGCGTAGGTGGTGTGGCGTTCGAACCCGTGGCCTATCAGCTGGAAGCCAAGTGCTTAACTCAATGAACCAAAGCTTATCAGTGATTGCATTATACAGAAGTCGTGCATTCACATACTCTTTGAGTTATTTGATTCCACTTCTTAGATAAGTTTCACAAACTCAACTATGATGGAAGTGTTTAGGTGGTGCATTGATAGTCAGGTTGAACAATGAGTGGAATAGATTTGAAATGGATGATATCCAAGTTTGTAATTTAGTATATTTTGACTTAACTGGTACAAATATAGCGACAGTCAGTTAATGTTTCCCCAGTAGATAGTTTAATAATCTGACAATATTTTATTGTTTATTTTTTATTGCATATTTTCTTCATTTGAAGATTCTTAACTTTGTTTTTCTATAGTGCATTTGTATGGGGTTCTTCAGTTAAACATCAGCCTCAACGTGTAGGTAAAGAACACACACTTCATGATGAAGATGTAGTACAAATTGTGAAAAAGTAAGTAAATATCAGTTTGCCAATGTGTATATAAGCAACTGTATATTCAGTGGTCAGACTCATATTTCTAAGGGAAACAGTTATCTAGGCAATGATTTTTTTGGTCTCGAAATGCATTTAGCACCCATGTTTTTTACTGTAGGCAACAAGTCATACCTATTATTATTATTATTAGTCCCTTGGGTTCCTAGTGGAACATAGGGCTTCAGTAGCACGCCTCCAGTGACCTCTGTTCTCTGAGATCTTTTGAACCTGGTTCCACGACAGCCCACAACCTCTCATTTCCTCCTCGCATGACCTCCTCCATGTCACCCTCGGACGTCCAACTCGTCGCTTCCCATGGGGATTCCACTCGAGGGCCTGACGCGTGATGTCCTCAGTCGGCCTTCTCAGTGCATGGCCAATCCATCTCCACTTCTTCCTGCATATTTGTTGCGTGATAGGTTCTTGGTTGGTTCGTTCCCAGAGTTCCTTGTTGCTTATTTTTTCTGGCCATCTGATCTTCAGCAGCGAGCGTAAGCAGTTGTTGATGAATGTCTGTAGTTTATTGGAAATCCCTTTCGTGACGCGCCAAGTCTCTGAGCCATACAAGAGCACTGACTTGACGTTGGTGTTGAAAATCCGTATCTTGTTCCACATGCTGAGTGCGGAAGATCTCCACACTGGTTTCAGGCTAATGAACGCCTGTCTTGCTTTTCCAATTCTGACTTTGACGTCCTCGTCCGTCCCGCCTGTAGTTGAAACAGTGCTTCCTAGATAAGTGAAGGAGGTTACTTCCTTCAAGTTTCTCCCGTTGACGGTGATTGGAGTTTGTTGTTGTTGTTGATGTTGGTGGTGCGGTATCTTCATCACTTCTGTCTTCTCTATATTCACCTGAAGTCCCGTCTTAGCTGCCTCTTCTGTCAACTTGTTAGTTTTTGCCTGCAGATCTTCAAGTTTATGTGACATTAGGCATAAGTCATCGGCGAAATCCAAGTCTTCTAGGTTCTTTTCCGTCGTCCAGTGTATCCCCCTCTTCTCGCTGCCTACTGTTTGCTGCATGATCCAGTCCACCACAATAAGGAATATCATGGGGGATAGTAGGCAACCTTGTTTCACTCCTGTCTTCACTTCAAAGGCATCACTGAGCTTCCCATTGTGGATTACTTGGCATGTGGCATCTTCATATAGTTGTTGAATGAGGCGGATAAAGGTTTGCGGTACTCCGTAGTATTGAAGCAGTTTCCAAATTACTTCTCGGTCGACGCTGTCAAAGGCCTTCTCAAAGTCGATGAAGTTGAGGTATAGAGCTGATTGCCATTCTACGCTCTGTTCTATGATGATACGAAGCGTTGCAATTTGGTCAGCACATGATTTGTACTTCCTGAAGCCTGCCTGTTCCGGTCGCAGTTTTGAATCCAGTGCGTCTTTAAGCCTCTCCAGGATGATGCGGCTTAATATTTTACTTGGGGTGGATAGGAGAGTGATTCCTCGCCAGTTCTTGCAAGCACTGAGGTCTCCCTTCTTCGGCAGTTTGACAAGGTAACCCTTCTTCCAATCGTCAGGTACCTTCTCTTCCCTCCACACCTTCTGCAATAGTGGTGTGAGCATGTCCGCTGTTGTCTCTGCATCTGTTCTCAGTGCTTCTGGCGGTATTCCATCTGGTCCTGCTGCTTTCCCGCATTTCAGTAGCTTTATGGCGTTCAGGACTTCCATTTTCGTTGGGGGATTTATGTTCACTTGTAATTCAGCGGCTGCAGGTGGTATTTCTGGACGAAGTGCAGGTGGTGGTCGATTCAAGAGCTTCTTGAAGTGGTCGGCCCATCGTTTCCTCTGTTTCTCTTCTTTTGTAATTAAATTTCCTTCTTCATCTTTTATTGGTTTCATCTGTGTTGGTCTCTTCCCTGATAGCAACCTGGTTATTTGATACAATGTCGTCAGGTCTCTCTTACCTGCAGCCTGTTCTGCTTCACTTGCCAGTGTGTCGTAGAAGTGTCTTTTGTCTTTGCGTGCACTCTTCTTCACTTCTTTATCCAGTGTTTTATACATTGTGCTCAGTTCCTCTTGTCGTTGAGCATCCTTGCACTGGTTTATCTTCTGCTTCACCATCCTCCTCTCCTCTATCAGCTTCCAGGTATCCGTCGAGATCCATTCCTTGTCTTCTTTCTTCTTCCTTCCTAATACTGTTGTGCAGGTTTCTTTCCACATAGCTTTCAAAGACTTCCAGTGTTCTTCTACACAGGTTTCTTCAGGGATGTCCCTCGACGTCTCCCATTTTGTCTTGATGGCTGCTTTGAAGATCTCCTTTGTAGTTTCATCCTTCAGTTTCCGAGTGTTGTACTTGAATTGAGGTCTATCACCAGCTTCCTTGAAGGCTTTTAACTTGATTTGGAAGGTTCCTTGCACTAGATAGTGGTCTGAACCTACATCTGCTCCTCTTCTTGACCTTGTGTTAAGTAGACTGCGTCTCCATTTTCTTGAGATTGAGATAAAGTCGATTTGATTTTTAGTGTGTCCATCTGGTGAAGTCCATGTCGCTTTGTGAATATCCTTGTGCCTGAACACACTGCCTCCAATCACCAAATCGTTGAATGCGCAGAATTCTGCAAACAATTCTCCATTCTCATTCATTTCACCTAGCGCCTCTCGACCCATGGTTAGTTCTCTTCCCGTGTTGTCCCCTCCCAGTTTGGCATTCATGTCGCCCATTAGAATTTTGATATCGCCAACTGACGTCTTGTCCAGTGTTGACTGAAGTTGTCTGTAGAATTCCTCCTTTTTCTCTTGCTCTGCATTATTTGTAGGTGCATAACATTGTATGATTGTGACCTTTCTTCCTTTTGAGTTGAATCTTGCTGTCATGATCCTGGAGGAGATTGGTTCCCACTGCATGAGAGCCTTCGATGCTCTTGAGGACATCATGATAGCCACTCCCTCAGTGTGCTCGTGGTTGGCGTCTGGGTGACCAGAGTAGATTATTGATTCTCCAGTTGACAGTTTGGAGAGTCCACTCCCATTCCATCTGCTCTCGCAAATCCCAAGCACTTCGATGTTATACCTTCTCATCTCCTTTGCAATCTGGGCTGCCTTACTGGGTTCAAACATCGTGCGGACATTCCATGTCCCCACGTTTACTTTCGCTTTCATCGAGAGAAGACACATCGGCCAATTGGCTTCCCGAAGGCTTTCACCAACTGGCGTCATTTCGCCTCTCCGATTCCAGCGGGGAATAAGTTTGTTTTCATTTTTTATATTTTGTTTGTGCTTTGAAGTTTCTTTAGCGGTTAGATTTGTTTTACGGGGTAGGGTTGCTAGCCCTATGCCCAACCTTCCCTCTTTACCCGGGCTTAGGACCGGCTAGTAACTAGTAAACTAGTTAACCTATTATGTAATAGCTAATGATAGACAGACAAGAATCAACGTACAACCTAGCACCCAAGTGCGTCATTACATGTTGTTGCACTTCACAGTAGTTTACAAAGAACAGGTGGATAGAAAAGGAGTGATATGAAAGTGGACAAAGTTGACTGAGAGAATAAACAGTCTGAAGATAATGGTTAGTGCGAATATTCAAACTTTAGAAGATGTCAAGGAGTGAATACATCTGCGTCACTATGGTTGATTTCCAGCCATTTCACTAAGAGTTCTCAACTACTGATTCCTATTTTCTCGTTGACCTCAGACAAGTAGTCTGCATCTCCCAACACGTTTCAGACCAATGGTTAGGGACTTCATGAACTAGTTCCACGTATCAGTCTGATCGCCCTCTTTCAACTTAATCCAGCTTCCTCTAGCGTTGCATGTTGAGAAATAGGTGTTGGCGACTCGGTATCCCCAGTATATGTCCAAGCCATCTCAGTCAGTGAAGATTCATAATCTCAAACCTCGGTTAGTGGAGTGGTATTTGTACGCGATACGCATTGGTTGAAAGTTAACTCCCCAAACCATGACTCCACTTCCCAACTGCAAACTCATCAGTCTGTACGCCATATTTCTTGTGTAAGTTTTGGTTAGTTATCGTAACTAGTGGTTAGTAATCTGATGAAGTTATTCAGATGCCTTTTTGGCCAATCAAATCGTTACCTTTTTTAGAAGAATTTTATTGCACAGAAAATATTTCCTGTCTCAATATATATGGTTCTTTCTATTTTGTTTGTTTTCAGAGTTTGATCCTTCTAATACACATTATAGGCTGTCAGTCTACTGCTTATTCTACTTATCGAAGTTTCTGGAGCTAAATGGAATTCACCTACTCAATCTTCCGTGATTGTTTTTGCATTGTTGTAATATCAGATTCCTGATAGTTTGATAATACATTTTGTTTCTAAGGTGGTTTTCGTCTTCTTCTCTTCTCCTAATTTTTTCATAATGATATGTTCTAGCGATAATGATGGTCATGTTGTTGTGGACCTACAATTTGCCAGTGTGCTTTGGTGTTCGATATGAATAAAATTCTAAATGACTTGATTTTTTTTAGGTATAAAGCTGTTTAGTAATGTATTTATGGTATCATTTTACACCACTGTATCTGGAATTCTTATCACGCATACTGAGTTACGGCATATATTCTTTGAAATAAGCCTGTTCTCTTGACTAGCCGGAAGTAGCTAAACCAAGATATTCTACTTATGAGGTTATTATCTGTATGTATGGTGTAGGTTACATATTTGTGTTCATGAAGTTTTCTTTATGCTATAAATGGTTGGGGGACTGTCTGTAATATAGATAAACAGACAAAAACCAACGTGGAACCCTGCACACAACTGCACCGGTTCAATTCACCACATTGCACAGTAGCATGGGAACAAAAGATGGATAGGAAAGGAGTGATATCAAAGCGGACGCAGTTGTGTGAGAGAGTAAACAATTTGTAGATAACGGTTGGTGCAAATATTTAAGCTTTAGAAGATGTCAAGGACTGAATGCATTTGCGCCATTGTGACCGATTTTCAACCATTTCACTAAGAGTTCCCCACCACTGATTCCTTTTGTCTCGGAGATCTCAGCCAAGCGGTCTACATCACCCTACACTGCTCAGACCAACCGTCAGAGACTTCAGAGACTGGTGTTATGCCTTGGTGTCACTACCCTAAGCCTTCTGACCTAATCAGAGAGTCAGAGAGTCACTTGTCCTGAAGGCCATGTCAATTGATGAACTAGTAATTTTTCCTGTCCTATATGAACACTTCCAACATTATTTTATCCGTCATATTTTTATTTGGATGCACTTGTGCGATTATAATACAAAATATCTGAAATTACAGGTAAGCTAAACGACATCTATGATTTATGCTAGTTGGATGGAGGCAATTGGCTGGAAGCTTTGGACCTAGTTCTCATGCTGTCTGGCACTCGTCAACAAAGCGTGTCTGCAACCCCGAGGAAACTGGTTTCCTGCTTGAAATTCGAACTTACATCGCCTAGTGCTGAGCTTCTCGGACCGCGATTTACCTTCTGTAGGACTGGATTAGGTCCGAATAGCTAAGTGGTAACTGACTGCAGCACTGGTTGACGCAAGTTTGAACCTCAGGCGAGACATCAGAGCTGTCGAGGTTGCAGATACGCCTTACTGACTTGCTCCAAGAAGTACGAAATCTGTGCCAAGCAGGGCTTCCTGCCGATCGCTCCCATCCAACTAACATCTATCTCAGTGCGTTGTGATGGGTAGTCTCCAAGTCTGGTGATTACATTGGAAAATGGTCTTTGATAAAGTCCATACGCTTATCTTCAAATGAGTTGAAGATGGAAATAAAGGGAAATGCCAACAGTCAACCAAATAACTTGAAGTAAGCCATAAGGCTGTTTGGTTACTGAATAGTAGGAGAGCAAGGGCTGAATAGCGTTGAATTAGTGGCTTCACAATACCACTCATATACCGTTCATCAGTTTTCTCTGGTCAACGGGTTTATAGACAAAGAAGCTGTGTTCCTTGGCTGGAAATGCAAATTCAGGATACATTCATTCTATAGTGAAATCCCAGGCAGCCAAGAATTCGGAATGTGTGAAAATCGCTTGAAGTTGACTTTTAGACCTCAGAAGTTTCCATTGTTTGTTTTTTGAATGAAAGCCAGAAGCGTAGATTAGTTTGCACTGTTATTATGAAATTTCCATTCCCGAAGCATACTTATTATAAAAGTATTATTTTTTCTGGTTTGGTCGACTTAGTTGCCAGTGTGAAAATAAATTTTGGATTGAATGATTCTGGGGAGTGTTTAGAGGGTAGAATGTGGCTCTTAAATGAAACTGTAGGTAACTATTTAGGTGAATAAATGGATAGAAGTTGATTCAACTTTTGCGTCAGAACATCAATGCTAAACTGAGAGATACTCACAACATGCACAACAGCCTCACCCCCATTTAATGTTTTTTTTACCTTTCTACTTTTCATAGAAACGTTTTTACCATTGAAGTATGTTTTAAGCGTCGGGTGGCTTATTGTTATTATTGTTATTTATCCTTTGGGTTCCTAGTCGAACATACGGCTTCAGTAGCACGTCACCATTCCACTCTCTTCTCTACAGCCTTTTCAACCTGGCTCCACCACCGCCCACAAGCTTTCATTTCTTCCTCACACCATCTCCTCCATGTCACTTTCACCTCGGACGCCCAACTCATCCTTTCCCATTTGGATTCCACTCAATGGTCTAGCCTAGCCTAACGCGTGATGTCCACAAACGATCTTCTCAGTGTATGTGCAGTCCAATGCACCTCCACTTCCTTCTGCATTTTTGTTGGGCGATAGGTTCTTGCCTCGTTGGTTCGTTGCCAGTCATAGTGAGTTCCTTGTTGCTTATTCTTTCTTACCATCTGATCGATCTTCAGTATCGAGTGAGCGTAGGTGTCAGCTGTTGATGAATGTCTGTAGTTTGCTGGAAATGCTTTGTAACGCGTCAAGTCTCTCAACTATCACATAGAAGCGCTGACTTGACTGAATTAGTGTTGAAAATCCAGATCTTGTTCACGCTTTATGCTGAGTGCAGTGCATTAGATCTCCACATTGACGTCAGATTAGTGCAGGAAGGCCTGTCTTTCTGTCTTTCCGATCGTGCCTGGCTTTGACATTCTCATCTGTGGCTGTGCCTCCTGTAGTTGAAACGATGCTACCTAGGTAGGTGAAAAAGACAACTTCGTTTAGATTTATCCCGTTGATCGTGATTGGTGCTTGTTGTTGTTGGTTGGGTATCTTCATCACCTCTGCTTTCTCTACGTTCACCTGAAGGAAGTGCCGTCTTCACTGCCTCGTCTCGCCTGTTCTGCCAACTTGTTAGTTTTCGCTTGTAGATCTTCGAGTTTGTGGACATTAGACATAAATCTTCATCGTTGGCGAAATCTAAATCTTGTAGAGTCTTTTCACCGACCCAGTCAGCGTATGGCCATATTCTCACAACTCCTCATAGTTTGTTGCATGATCCAGTTCAGTCCAGTCGACCACAATCAGGAAAATGACCGGTGATAGTAGGCGGCAACTTCGTCTTACTCCTGTGTCCTGTCTTCACTTCAAAGGCATCACCGAGATTTCCATTGTCAATCACTTGGCTAGCATGTAGCATCATATAGCATATAGCTGTTGAGTGAGGTTAATAAAAGTTTGTGGCACCAAAACCGTAGTGTTGAAGCAGCTGCCTTCCAAATCACTTGTCAGTCGACGCCTCGATCGAGAGCCTTTTCAAAATGGATGAAGTTGAGGTGGAGAGTTGCTATTCTGCCATTCTATGCTCTGCTCTGTGATGATGCGTAACGTATGGTTGCAACTTGATGCGCACATGATTTGTTCTTCCTTAAGCCAGCCTATTCTGATTCTAATCTTGAATCCAGAGCATCTTTTAGTCTCTCCATCGTTGAGCAATAGTAATTGATTATTTCTAGGTCACCTGGTTGGTTGTCGGTTATAACAACTATCCTTTATGTCCACCTGTACAACGTACAGATTTTTCATCACTTTTAACATATCTTAGTTCCGTTGTCACATCTCACTAGGATATTACTTTTATCACCATAGGTTTCACACTAAGAAGAGGTGAATAGTCCATTCGAATTGAAAAAGTACCTGATGAAAAGAATCAATTGTTCAACTGAATTCCATCTTTATATCTGTATACAGAAAAATATGTACACGTCTCTTGTAGTATCATTACGGATTGATGGGTATTTTTCTGAATGGTTGTAACACGATGCTCAATAACTGGTCTGCACCGACTTCTATTTTAAAGATATGAAGTGAATCGATGGAATGTCTTGATCATTCCACCTGTGGAGTACAACAACGTTAATATAATGGTTTGATAAGAAAATCACAGCTCAGATAGGAAAGGCATATTTGGAATTTACCGATTTACATCATTGGTGTTGTTAGTGAGATATTGAGTGGCAAGTGTAGAGCTTTGAGACCATAGCTTTTTATCGTAAAAGACATCATGATTCTGCAGGTTTTCAATCCTATTTGTCCTCCATATCATTGTCTACATCTGGTGAGACTATCATATGAACAGTGGTTAGGTTAATCGTAGATTGCTAGGTAATGAAGGGATTTCTATGATTGAATTTATGAGTTACCATTAGCTGAGCCAACTTACTTTTGTAATACTCATATTTATTGTCAATAGGAGTAGGATTCGTTTAAAAGAAGGTGAAGAGTGGCCAATTGAAGATATAGCATCAGTGTGTAAAATCTTTGACTGTTGACCTATGAAAAGATGTCATTTATTTGTGATCATAGGAATCAGTGGTTGAAGACTGTTGATAATATGGCTGGAAATTGATTACTAAGCTTCATTTATCTGTTCCTACTTTTCTCATATGATCCACTCCCTTACAAGTTGGTTTATACATCTCTTTGACTAATATTAACACCGGACCATCGCTTTTTATTGTAATCTAAAGCATTTTTTATTACGTATATATATATATATATATATATATATATATATATATATATATATATGCGTCCATATAAGTGACCTTTTCTAGTGACTAGATTCAGTGAAAAGGATTTCTCCTTATTCTTCGATTAGTTTTGTAGTCATCCACCCTATTTTATTATTCCCAGCTAAGCGACAAAATAGTGATAAAAATATTTTCTCATTACAATCTTTATCACAAGACTGATGATTTATTTGATTTTAGCGACAGTACGAATGAATAAAATCAAATTTTTCATGAAAACTAAATAAAACTTAGTTGATTATATCTTCCCGAAATTGACAATTCTTTTAAAAACTGATTATTCTGTTTGTGATGCATACTTCTTCACCAGAATGAGAGGTAAATTGTCTAGAATAAGGCTATGCTTTTTTAAGATTCTGAGTTATTGCAATCAGTGAATCGAGTTTCTGGAGATTCGATGTTAGCTCTCGCGGTCTTGTAGGTGTAGGCACAGCATCATGCACTAGGGCAGAAAGTTCACTACTAGACTGGATCCCAATTGACAGTCGCTTTTGCGCTGTCTGACTGCACGGCTCAGTGAGAACTAAAAGGAGTAGTGAAACTCGCCGTTGTCTCTTTGTAATCTCTCCTTACACACCCACAACTGACTGGTCTTCAACGGTGCCCCACCGCGACTAACAATAGAGAGTGTAGTGGTTGAGTGCATCGACCACTTCACTTATCTGGGAAGTAAGATCATCCCCGCTCTGATGGCTCAGTGGCCGATGAAATCTCTGTACAAACATAAAAGGCTCAACTGGCTTTCACCAACTTACGCCACCTATGGCGCCACCGTGATATCCGATTGTCTATTAAGGGTGGGGTGTACTGGACAGTAGTTCGATCTGTTCTACTGTATGGCTGTGAAACATGGCGATTGAAGGTGGAAGACATGAGAAAGCTGACTTCAGGTGTTTGACCATCATTGCCTTCGTAGTATAGGCCGTCGTATTCCATGGTGTCACCATATGAGTAATGCAGAAGTCAGGTGTAGTGTAGGTGTCGGTGTAGGTGTAGAGTTTAATGGAGAAGAGGTAGGTGAGTTGACGAGGTTGTGAACCTTCATCGACTGAGATGGCTGGTTGGGACATTTGTTACGTATGCTGAGTCGCCGATTGCCTCGTCATACACACACACACACACACACACAATGTTTGGGGAAGTAGGTTGAGGATGGTGAAAGGCTCGAGGTGATCCGACTAGAGCATGGCACCAATGTATGAAGTGTTTGACTGTTAGTTTAAGCCATGAGTGAGGGGCGATGCATACTAGTGGGTTGGGGTTGGGGGGACAAGAGGCAAGCAGTGGTTGTAGAGTGACTCTAGTTGATGTAGTTCAGAAGCGATGTCAGTGGTGGAGATGTATGCCGACACACATTATCCTCATCTTAACGACGCTATACCGAATCTCACCATTTTCTCATTCTTCCTTTCTCTATTTTAGTAGTTTATATTTCTTTTGAGTGAATTTTGTTTTCTTTGTCTTACAGTTGACTGTCTTTTTACTTGATGTAGTGATATGAGGTGTGACAAGTTGGATTGTTACGCAGTAATGCCTGCTCTTGTGTTGATGATGGTGATGTAAATCTAGAGTTTGAACTTCTCTTTGCCAACATGCTTTTAGATAGTGGATGAGTAATAATAACGTTCAAGTAGTATTTGTGGCCCCTGATCTTGATATTACATATCCGTACATAGTTGTTGAAGCATCGGTTGAGCTGTCTTCCTTTTTTCCCACGGAAAATCCGAGTCATTACTGGATTGACTGCATTCCCCCTGATAATGTGATCAAATGTTGTCCACTAAATTCACCTTAGCTTGTCTATCACACTTTTTGTTGTTATTACCAACTGATGTTATGTATTTACTGTATCCTGGAGACGTGGTTCGATGGTTTAGTCAGGTGACTGCCAACCAATGAGTCGCAAGGTTTCGGGGCAGCTAGGTAGTTTGTACCATCAGCCCTCACAGTATAGGAATGTAGTTCATTGCTTATTACACAAATGTGTATAAGGTTGCTGTGAATGGATTTCGATTTGATATCATCCTTCATTATAAGCTATTTTTAAAGTTGTTTTATGTTTCTCCTTTACCTTGATTGATATTTTTAATCATAATTGACTGCTGCTGAGTATCTGTCCAAAAAGGAATATATGGTCTCACATGATTTTCACCGTTTAACTAGTAGCAAGCTATCAGATACATTCAACGTCAATTGAATTTTTCTTTTGTCAAGGTATCATTTTTGTTCTGTTATTTGTCTGTTACAAAAGGTTTTACTGACGATCTCAAGTTATCACCTTTAAGCTGTGATGACATTTTGTCTGGTAAGTGTAAAGCTCAATTATCAAGAGCTTATCATTTACTGTTACAGCTGAAAGGATAGATTGAGAGAAAAATTTAAAGTTTAGCATGTCTATAATGCATCGAGGAATGCATATGTGATGAGTAAGTATTACCCTGCTAATAATTGATTCTTCATAGTATTCAGCTGAAAATGTTCTGTCTTTTTGACGATAGCAGAATAGAATAAGCAGTACCAATTGAGCATACCTAACTTCTGATGTTAGCAGTTCCAGTGGAGCTGTGGCTCAATGATTTAGAGATGACTGCCAACTGATGAGTCAGGGGTTCGAATCCCGCTTCACCTACCGAGGTTTGGGCAGCCAGGCAATATGTACAATTAGCCCTCACAGAATAAGGCTGTGGCTAATTTCCTACTGCACGAACGTGCAACCAAATATTATTAAAGCAACTTCGGTTATTATCTCTGAATATGTACAACAATTTAAGCGTTTATAGGTTTATATGATAAACTCTGTGACAGGTAGCCGTTTGCTAAGGGATGGATTATAAATTCGTGTTTATTGGGTTCACTCGAAGCAAGAGATTGAAATATCTACTGAGATATCTCAACAACCAGACTGTCTACCTTTTATCACACTTCATTTACTCTGGTTTATCGGTCTAAGCACTTGGTTTCAACCAGTGGATCATAGGCTAGAACCGCTCTCCGCCTACTAAGGTTTCAGTAAACAGGCAACATCATCCACCTTCAACCAACAGATGTAACCCATGACCTAGTGCACAAATCTTCTCGTAGTGTCTGAGTATGAATCTCACAGGATTCCTCTACTTACTATCCAACCACGGAGGAAATCTGTTAGTGACATTGATTTTCTGGTCTTCACCTAAGTTTTACGGCTCTTGCATATGTAGTATAAAAGCAAAGCATCAATTAGATGCTGATAATTTATCTCCAGAGGTTTCTAAAGATGATGGCCATGTACAATTAGTTAGACGAACTGAGATAATTATCACCAGGGTATAAGAACCAACCATAACTCCTTTTGATTAATTTCTATCGCTATTCGCTTCAAATCCTAAGAAGAGGCGACTACAGTGTGCTAAGCTATATTCTTCTAAAATTCAGTTCTTTCCTCAACTTCCATCAGTATCTGTTTGTCATTTATGTTGTCGTATTGTGCTGATTGCTTGAACTGACTGTGATATAAATGACTAGCTGTTGAACAGAAAGATTTTGCATGTGTGTATGTATGAAATGCAGACAATATAATATAAGCCAAGTATTCATTATGTTGTAGTCCGCTTTGTGGCTGGGAATGAAATCCTAGACGCACGTTTCATCCTGTTTTGGACTCGTCGGTTGGATATACCTGAAACTCAGTGAGTGATCGTGTTCTCACTAAGACTCAAGTCCAGTATTAAGCGCTTCAAATACCAAAGCCTGTGGGGCACGACAGCTCCCTCTTGTCCAATGGGTATCGGTTGTTGTTTGATACTTATAATCTTCTGTCGCTATAATATTAGGTTGAATTACTCGATTTCTGTTGGACGCTAAATTAACTGCAAATATTTTGATAGAATAGTCTATTTTCGCCAGATATACTTCGTCAGAGATCCGAATTTTCAACACTAATTCAGTCAAGTCAGCGCTTCTATGTGATAGTTGAGAGACTTGACGCGTTACAAAGCATTTCCAGCAAACTACAGACATTCATCAACAGCTGACACCTACGCTCACTCGATACTGAAGATCGATCAGATGGTAAGAAAGAATAAGCAACAAGGAACTCACTATGACTGGCAACGAACCAACGAGGCAAGAACCTATCGCCCAACAAAAATGCAGAAGGAAGTGGAGGTGCATTGGACTGCACATACACTGAGAAGATCGTTTGTGGACATCACGCGTTAGGCTAGGCTAGACCATTGAGTGGAATCCAAATGGGAAAGGATGAGTTGGGCGTCCGAGGTGAAAGTGACATGGAGGAGATGGTGTGAGGAAGAAATGAAAGCTTGTGGGCGGTGGTGGAGCCAGGTTGAAAAGGCTGTAGAGAAGAGAGTGGAATGGTGACGTGCTACTGAAGCCGTATGTTCGACTAGGAACCCAAAGGAAAAATAATGATATTATGTAATAATACTTCGTTGGAAAAGATTTCTTTCATTTATTACCTAATGGATATAGTAAATAATTAATTGATAAGAGGTGTTTTTTTGTAGTGTAAACATGAAATAAATTAAAAGGGGATTATTTTCTTCTTATTTCTGTTATTTAATTTCAGCTATTTTTTTTATGCCGACATCAACTGATTTATTATCGAAATCGAAAAGAGAAGAATGCTGGAAATCACGTGATGCTTATTGGGAATGCATAACTAAACTATGTACAGAACATGAAGAGCCTAATGATAAGTTAATAAAACAACGATGTGGTAATCAAAGAAAATCTTATGAAGCCTCTTGTCCACATACATGGGTAAATTAATTATCAGATAGAAATTTTTTTATGATATGTATAATTGATGCGTGTATTTTTGGGCTTTGATTAATTTGAATTAAATCGAGCTTGATGTAATGAAGTCATTTAGAATGGAAAGGATTCATTTATAATCATCCTCTCTTCAGGTTAACATGACTGAGTCTCTCTTCAATATTTTTTCAACACTTCTTGAAATGCTTACGTCTTGAAAAATGAAAAGGGTATATCACCTAGTTGTTCAGTTTAAGACACTTTACAGATACTTCAAAGGCTATTTCGAATATATTACATTGCTCACGTTTGGTGGAACTGCTGTATGAGCAATTTTGAAATCAGACGAAGGGTACTAGGTAAAGTAGGCAAGGCAATTGATGAGGTTGTGAACGTTTATCGATTGAGATGGCTTGGATATGTGTTGCGCATGCCGAATCACTACTGCCTACCTTGACGTATCATGCCAGGGGAAGGTGGATTAGGTTGGAATAGGGTTCAGGGTGTCCAAACCAAGACGTGGCACCAGTCCATGATGTCTGTGACTTTGGTCTGAGTCGTGTTGGGAGATGCAGACTACTTGTCTGAGGTCAACGAGAAAATAGGAATCAGTAGTTGAGAACTCTTAGTGAAATGGCTGGAAATCAACCATAGTGACGCAGATGTATTCACTCCTTGACATCTTCTAAAGTTTGAATATTCGCACTAACCATTATCTTCAGACTGTTTATTCTCTCAGTCAACTTTGTCCACCTTCATATCACTCCTTTTCTATCCACCTGTTCTTTGTAAACTACTGTGAAGTGTAACAACATGTAATGACGCACTTGGGTGCTAGGTTGTACGTTGATTCTTGTCTGTCTGTCTATATGTACAACTCATACTTCTTGTAAAACTTAAAACTTCACCAGTCGATAACACATTTGAAGACGTTTATTGCTATACTACTTTAGTGACTATTTTTATACAGATTTGATTCACTTGCACAAATCAGTCACTTCCTTGTAACCGAGTTAATGCTTCTTAGTATCTGTTGAAGTCATCGGTCTATGTTGGGAAGTCTACTTTCTCGTATAACTTCCTAAAATCCACCTTCTCTGTTTAGTTAATAGGTTTTTCAGTTTTTCGTTGTGTAATTTGTAAACCATTGTGATATTCGACTGTAAGTGATGGATTAATGCCTGACAGTGGAATCCAGGACGCACGTTTCGTCCTATTTAGGAGTCGTCAGACAGATATATATGCCTCTCAGTGGGTGGTTTTGTTCCCACTGAAACTCAAACCCAGTATCTATCCCTCCAAACATCAAAGCTTTATCCACTAGACCATGGAGTAAAGATATTCACTTCTTGAAGTATTCTCTGTTAAACTTTCTCCTATATGATCATATGTAGATAATGTAAACTAAAGTACAAAACAATTTTAGAATAAAAGGGAATATTTTGAATTTTCTGTAAGCTTATCATCTCATTCGTGTTTCATCAAATGCGTTTCTCAGTTCCACATGAACAAATCCTTTTTCTACTTTTATATTAAGTTGAATTGCCTGATTTACCAATTGCTGGATACCTAAGAAATATGAATCAAGTCATATTTAATATAATAAATAATGAAAGTACTATTCATATCATTTCCTTGAATAATTTAACAATAAGAAGCATATATGCTTGAAAAAGGATGTTCAGTCTGACTAATAATGTTAACTGTAATCCAAACAATGTGTGTGATACGTTATGGAATTCTCAACCGATAATATTTTCACAAATTCATCCTAGAACAATAATTTCCAACAAATTGATCGTTGTATCTGAATGGTGTTTATAATAACAGCAATGAAGGCAGCCGGTTAGTGTCCAATGTTCAATGGTTGTGGTTGATTCAACCAGTAGAAGATTGAATATGCTATTCAACATAGGTATTCGAGGAATAGGAATATAATGCCCTTTTTGTTCATTCAAAATTTCATTTCTGTCTGACATGATATTTTTCTTTTGTTTTGTTATTAACTTAAAAAATGACTACTTCAGATGATTTAAAATATCCGCGAGAGTATGCGATATGTTTGGAGGACGTATTTGAAAGACTAAAACAAACTAAAAGGGAAGAATTTCATGTAATATGTTCTGTGGAAAATTTTAATAGTAACCCAGAATTCGAACTGGTTAGTCGCTTATCTATGCAAAGCATCAGTATGTACTGGTTGAAAATCTAACAGGTTGGTATTCATCATAGACTTACATCAGTTACATGAACATTGGAAACCTGGGAACACTGGACTACTGTCCTGTCCTCACCCATGACCCTACCCCTCCAGGGATCCAACTCAGGACCTTCAGATTCTGCGGTCAGCACGTTACCATTGAGCCACTGCGTCGGAATCCAATGGTCCAATGGCTTCTACTGATGGCAATCCATAATGAAAACCAACCCGAAATCAATGAATAAATCCCTACAGATCTCGAAATTAATCTAGTGCTCATTAGAGTGACTAACTTTGAGAGGGGATTCTCGAAGTTCCAATAAAAAGTCGTGACCGGTGGGGCCAACCAAATTGAACATGAGGATAGTTACTCAACGATGGTATTGGATGCAGGTCATACTATATCGTGAACTAACGGAATTCGGAAATATGGATCATTGATTTCTGACCCAGTGGCTCAATGATAACGTACTGGCCACGCAACCTGGAAATCTTGGGTTCGACCCCTGATAAGGCGAGGTCATAGGTGGAGGCTGCTGAGGAGTCCCATACTAGGGCAAAACAACTGTCCAATGCTCCCAGGTCTGCAATTTTTCCCCAACCGATGTCAGTACATGATGGATATTAACTTGAAATCAATAAATAAATCTACACAAACCTCAAAATTGAAGATGTAAACAAACGAACTTCTTTTGTTAATGCATATTTGTTTTAATCATCGAAAAAGTCTTAATAGGTCGTGGGAAATTAAGTGAAGAACAATTTCTTATCGATAAATCATTTTCAGATACTGTACATGCCTATTTATAGTTACAAGAAAAATATATGTCTATCAATAGTTAATGGGTCGCTTTTCTGTATAATTACATAAATCTTTTCAAGAGATTGATTCTATTATTCGCTGTAGCAAGCTTAAAAGAAAGCACTTTAGAAAGTTGTTGAGTTCTTTCACTGTAAAAGGATCTTCGCTATCGCTAGAATCAATTTCTTGAATCGATGTATGTATAGAGAAACACTACCCATTTATAAACATAACTATAAATACGAATGTATAGCTTACGAAAACAATTTGTCGAAAAGAAAATTTTCTAAGTTTATGTATAGTGATGATGGGCAGTGGCTAGCAGTGGAATCCAGGATGCGTATTTCGTCCTGTTTGGGGCTCGTCAGCTGGATGTACCTGCCTCATAGTGAGTGATGTTGTTCCACTGCTAGCCACTGCCCATCATTGCTATACATAATTAAAACACAGGCAATATCGAGGCATCCGCACAGGAGCCCATATGCCAACAGAGACTGATCAATTCGGTCCAGTCAACGACGGTGTCATACAAGCAATCACACTAAAACTATACCCGTCTCACAAGAAGTGCCGATCGTGGCTCAGTGGTGTAGTGGATAACGCTCTGGCGTTTGAAGCGATTACTTGCGAGCCCGAGTCCCGGCGGGAACAACATCACTGACTGGAAGGCAGGTACATCCAGCTGACGAGTCACGAATAGGACGGAATGCGCTTCCTGGATTCCATTTTTAAGTTTTATTGTCTTTTTTTAATTTTTCATGAGATATAACTAATCAGTAAAACGTTTATTCGTACATATTTGGTATATATCAATAATAAGTCTGAATAAGGAATATTCCACAAAATGGTAAGATTTTATCATTCTTTTGATAAGGAATTAACAGTAGCTATGTGCTTCAATACAATGATGGTGTGTTGTCTGAGTTGAATGGTTTAATCGTGGAGCTTTTATTGTCATTCCAGACAAAATTATCAGCACAAACTTCGGAAGGAAATGAGCTTTAAAGATTTTTTCACAAGATACTTAATACCTTGACCTTGTGTGTGATTGGTCATTTCTGCCATGGTCTGGTCATTGTCTCCATATGCGTTTTGATTGGTTCTTCTGCCGATGTGAACTTTGACCTTGTTATTTCTTATTGATTGATAGATTAGGTCAATACCATAGGAATGCCATAGGAATCCACCTAAACAAACCAAGTCTGTGTATTCAGAAGAAATTCGTACAGCCATTTCCTTTGCCTTGGCCATCTGCATAGCTTATTTATTTCAACAAAACCCTTCATTTCATTCATCCCACAATTGATTATGACTAATATTTTAATAGCTCTATTATTTATGATTTGACTACCTGAGATAGCCGTAGTTTGACAGACTAGCATTTGTACTGGGTGATGATTGAAGGTGGGATGAAAATCATAACCACGGCCGGATTCGAACCAGCGACCACCATTATTATTATTACAGTTTTAGCCGTCTTGTTCTCCCTGTACTGTCTCTAATTACCGTCAACACTTTACCACTTTACGTAACAATTCATTTTCGCCCTTTAGTTACCATTATACAAAATATGAATTATGTAAGAATCTATTGAAAATTTCACAAAATCTTTCTACTATAGTTGATCTATGCTTTAGTTAATTGTCTTAATTACCTGATCAATTATCACCATGTTGATACTTTGATATTGATAACCTTTCATTAAACAACTCTCACCACTAGATTGGTATGTAATTTTACGTTTTAAAAATGTTATATATTAGTATAGAGCCATTGATGGGGAAATAACTGAAAAGAAATATTTTTTTCGCCCATATTGTTTATTTTACGAAATGTTTAAGTGGGAATTTTCGCACCAATATCAATACGTCTGTTGATTACTGACTGATCTGAATATCAAGCATCTAAAAGTTATCTAATATTCTTTCTATTTCCTCTATCCACATTTTCTCAGTTAAATTCATATCCAGTATTGTCTTTATGCATTGATATGAGTGAAGATAT